CACTGAGCCACCTTCCCAGCCCCCTGAGATTCTTTTGCTTAATGCTAGCACTCTACCACTTTGAGCCACAGTTCCACTTCCAGTTTTTAGGTGGTTAATTGAAGATGAGAGTCTCACATTTTCCTACCCAGGCTGAATTTGCATGTCACTTCTCAGATCTCAACTCCTGAATAGCTAGGATTACAGGAATGAGCCATCAGCATCCAGATAGGTCACTACTTTTGAGAAAGACTTCTGATTACTGTCCTCTTACCATGTGTTGGGAATGTTGGAGGATAGATACAGCTGTATTTTTGTTTTAAAAGACTTCCATCTTGGTGTAAAACCCATCACTATGTACAAAAATTGTAAAGCTCCCAAAATTGAGGAAGGAAAGATGCTAGGAAGACCAAATAAGGGTATACCTCCTGGGAGAAGCAGAGTATATGCACACCAGCAAAAGACTGTGGCTACAAACACATTAGAAACCAGTTACCAAGTGGCCTATGATAATTTAACTCAAGCAGGGAAGATAGCGTTAGAATTCTGATAGTTCAGGAGCAGAGAAAAAGAAACCTCATTCCTTTTCTTTCTCTAAATCTTGACATCATTTCCATACTGTCTTCAAATTCTAGTGGCTGACACTATTAGCAATCACAAACTAAAAGGTTTGTGTTTTCTGTGGTTTGTGTCTTAAAACCATTGGGAATAGAAAACTGTTAATCCCACCTACAGAAAGCCTCTTTGTTTGAATAGTAAGGCAATTAGTAAGGTCAAGCATTTATAGCAGTGACTCCTAATGGTGTATAAAGTACCTAGAAGAAATAGCTTCTGGAAACTGCTTCTGAAAATTAAAAACTCTAAAGATAAAGTAGGTTTTGGGTCATTATAACTTGCTTTTGCTGTCTGAATGTAAGCCAGCAGTTCAGCTATAGGTTTGAATGGAAATTTATTTATTTATTTATTTATTTTTATTTATTTTTTTGCTGGTCCTGGGGCTTGATCTCAGGGCCTGGGCATTGTCCCTGAGTAGGGTGTGTGTGTGTGGGGGGAGGTCCTGGGGCTTGATCTCAGGGCCTGGGCACTGTCCCTGAGTAGGGTGTGTGTGTGTGTGTGTGTGTGTGTGTGTGTGTGGTCCTAGGGCTTGATCTCAGAGCCTGGGCACTGTCCCTGAGTAGGGTGTGTGTGTGTGTGTGTGTGTGTGTGTGTGTGTGTGTGTGTACGTGTGTGTGTTTCTAAAGGTTAATGCTCTACCACTTGAGTCACAGCTCCACTTCTGGCTTTTTGTTGTTAATTGGAGATAAGAGTCTCCCAGACTTCTCCTGCCTGGGCTGGCTCTGAACTGCAGTCCTCAGATCTCAGCCTCCTTGAGTTACTAGGGTTACAAGTGTGAGCCATGGCCCCCCCTGCAGAACTGTAATTCTTTATCTGCCCATTCTTTCCTAAACTGTCCATTTACCTCCATCTGCCATAAGAATACTTCATCTAAAATTATCACTATAGGAAGGATCCACAAAGATAACACAGGGCTGCTGGAGTCATATGAGAGATATGTGAATGAATTCAATAACTGGCTTTTTCTTAGGGCCTAACTCTGGTGTTTCCAAGTGAGTTCTGCAGTCCAGGTAGTCTCAACCTTGACAGAAATCCCACAATCAAGTATGTACAAAAGCTTCTGCAAGCACTCACACACATGCATCTATAAGCACATCACATTTTCAACACAGGCTACCTGAGAACATGGAGGCCATTGATACTGAGAGTCCAGTCTTTGATATGTGAGTCAGGTTAGATCCTTCGCTACCATCTGTGCAATAATAATTATAAAAGGGGCCCTTTAGTTAACTTTCTGACAGAAAATAAACTAATGAAATACATTTTGGGGATCAGGACCTGACTACTGTTCCAGAAAATAAAATGGCATTTATATATATATATATATATATTTATATTTATATAAATATATATCTATTTATATAACATGGAAGGTGGATACTGCAACTTGCTAAAACCACTGCATCCTCAAGTTTCTCCTAAGATACTGCTTCTCAATCAGGGCTCATGAGGGCACTATCTGGAGACATTTTTACTGTTAGGTAGGGAGAAGGGTACTACTGGCATCTAATGGATAGAGGCAAGAAATGATACTAAAGATCTTACAGTACCCAAGACAGTCCCTTACAACAAAGAAATGTTGAGAAACTGCTATTTTGAACCCAATGAGGAAATTGTCCATTGAACATCTCTTGGGGTCCACACAACAGCAATAGTTTCCAACAAGAGTGCACTTCACAACTCCCACCGGGCAGCTTTTTCTAGACTAACTAGCTTCCCCTGGCTGCCTGCTTTTCCACAAGCAACATTTAGTCAAGTGCACTGTTCCACACCCACTAAAACAGCAAGCTGTGAATTTACCTTGTTATTACATGCTTGAAATTCTGCAGCTGATTCCAACCAGAGGGAGGAACCCTCTTATTTTCTTCTAATTTGGAGATCAAGTCAATCACAGACTGACATAATAATAAATACTTATTTGGCCCTTGAACCTGGTTCCTTGCAGAAAACTCCCCAAATCTTTGGATTTTTCTGAGTGATAGCAGTGTCTTTAACATTTAATTTTTTGTAAGAAGTCCCTTCAATTAAATCTAAGTATGTACTAATGAAATAACTCCTTTTTGTTTAGTCTAGTTTGGAGACAGTCTGACTATATGTAGCCCAGACAGCCCTCAAATTCATGATCCTCCTGTTTCAGCTTTCCTAGTGCTAGGATCACTAGTGTCAGGCACCATGCTTGGCTTGAAGTGATTAATTGGCCCTCCAAAAGCTTCAGAACAAGCTGGCACCAGTGGCTCAATCTTGCAATTCTAGCTACTTAGGAGGCTAAGATCTAGATGAGGATTGTTTGAGATGGCTTGAAGCCCAGCCCAGGCAGAAAGGTCTTTGAAACTCTTATCTCTAACTACCAAAAATCTGGAAGTGGAGCTGTGGCTCAAGTGAAAAGAGAGATAACCTTGAGCAAAAAAGCTCAGTAAGGGCTGGGAAGGTGGCTCAGTGGTAGAGTGCTTGCCTAGCATGCATGAAGCACTGGGTTCGATTCCTCAGTACCACATAAACAGAAAAAGTTGGAAGTGGTGAGATGGTTCAAGTGATAGAGTGTAAACCTTGAGCAAAAGAAGCTCAATGACAGTGCTCAGGCCCCGAGTTCAAGTCCCAGGACTAGCTGGGGGGGGAGGGTCAGTGACAGTGCCTGGACCCTGAGTTCAGGACCTAGGACCAACACACACACACACACACACACAAAAGGAAAGAAAAAGAAAAAAGAAAGAAAAAAAGCTTCAGGATGGGAGCTGACCACTAGAATAAGCCTCATAACTTCAGTCTCCCTGTTAGTCCAGACAGAGAGAAGAGTTGAAGATCAAGTTTAATTACCAATGGCCAAAGATTTAATCATTCATGTCCATGTTATGAAACCACAATGAAAATCTTTGTAACACCTGATACCAGTGGCTCATACCTGTAATCTAGGTACTGAGAAGCTGGGATCCAAAAGATTTTGGTTTAAAGCCAGTCTAAGCAGTAAGGTCTGTGAGACTCTTATGGCCAATTAACCACCAAAAAGCAGGAAATTGAACTGTGGCTCAAGTGGGTAAGTGCCAGCCTCGATCAAAAAAGCTAAGGGACAGAGCCCAGGCTCTGACTTCAAGTCTCTTTACTGGCATACACACACACACACACACACACTTGCAACTACAAAATTGGGGAACTTCCTGACAGGCAAACAATATACTGGGTGAGTGGTGCACCCCAATTTCACAGAGACAGAATTGCCTATGCTCAGTCTCTTTAGGTCCTTATTCAATATACCTCTCCATGAGGCTGTTTATTTCTACCTTTTATATAAACCATAATCATTAAGTATAGTAACTGTCTAGGTTCTGTGAATCATTCTAGAAAATTATACAGCCTGGGTGGAGGCAAGTCATGGGAATTCCTGAACTTGTAATCAGCAGGGCAGAAATGTGGGTGACTCCACTTGTATTTGGCATCTGAAGTAGGAGTGATGTTGTGAAACTGAGCCCTTACATCGTGGATCAGTGCTTGTATTAACTTTAGGTAGTAACTGTCAAATCAGAATTGGAGGATACCAAGTAGTGCGTGAGAACTGGAGATGTTGCAGGAAGAATCATAGAAAGGAAGAAAAAAAGGTTTTTGTTTGCTTGGTTTTGACTGTATTAGGGTTTGAATTCAAAATGGGCCTTGTGCTTGCTAAGCATGCATTCTACCATTTGAGCCATGCCTTCAGTAACTTTTTTTTTTCAAATAGGGTTTCATGCTTTTTGCTTGGGCCAGCCTAGACCACAATCCTCCTCCTTACATCTTCCACATGGCTAAATGGTTTGCTGAGAGAGGGACTTGCTAACTTTTTGTCTGTGCTGTCCCCACATTGTGCTTACTGTGCCCACCTTAAAACAGGAGTTTGAAAAGTGACTATTACTGCTATGACTAGCAATCAGGTACATTACTTTGAATAAAGAAAGAAGGCTTCCTGGAGACCTGGAAAATATGTTGTAAAATCTAACCTTTTTCTTTTTTGGTGGGGAGAAGGGGGTGCTGGACCTGTGGCTGGAACTCAGGGCCTAGACGCTGTCCTAGAGCTTTGTTGTTCAAGAAAAGTACTCTACCACTTGAGCCCATAACTCCACTTCTGGCTTTCTTTTTGGTAGTTTAGTGGAAAATCTTACAGATTGTCTCAGCCTCTTGAGTAGCTAGGATTACAGATGTGCACCACCAGTGCCTGACAAAATCTGAATTTTTGAATGGGGAAAAAAATCTGGCTACTTCATCTAGAGGTCTTGGGGAGATGAACCCATTCTTTACCATACAACAAAAGATCTATTCATGGTCATGTTACAGTGTAGTTAAATATTATAGATATAATTCATCTCTTTAAGGAAATCATTATGTTATATCCATAAGAAAGTTTTCTCCTTAACTGCTTTTTTTGTTTGTCTCACAGTCTTACTGATAGTAATTTTAGGAAGCCCGTGAGTTGCAGGAATGGGACATTAAATTGACTGGATCTATGTGCCATTCCAGATGGGCCTTGCCTTCTTTATGCTAATACTTCCAACAGCAGTAAGTCCAATTCTGCTATGCAAGTCAGCATTAGCAGGGCAGAAATTAAAGTTCTACTTTGTAAATATGTTGGATTTATTTTCCCCTTTATGTTTCCCCTTCAACAATTTCTCATATCCTCTTAGGATTACCATAAAGCTCCCTTTGAATAGTTTGAGGCAATTTCAGTTGCATTATGGAGCACATCGCATGCCATTTCATATGGCACAGATCAGCTAAACAAGCTAGAAGGAAGCTGGGAGCAGGTAGCTCATGCTTATAATCCTAGCCACTTAGAAGGCTGAGATCTGAAGATCATGCTTCAAAGCCAGTTCAGGCAGGCAGGAAAGTCTATGAGACTCCTATATCCAATAAATGACTCAGAAAATGCTGCAAGTGGCCCTGTGGCTCAAGTGATAGAGTTCTAGCCTTGAGTACAGAGAAGCTCAGGGAACAGAGCCCAGGTCCTGAATTCAAGACCCAGGACCAGCAAAAAAAAAAGCTAGAAGGAGGAATCAGAGTGAGAGTCTAAGAGAAAGATGGAAATGAGGAAGAAGCACCATAGTGACTTCCCCACCACGTCCAGACTACCCGTGACACTCCCCTTCACTGTTCTTTTCTTCTTAAACTTGAAAGGAATTCTTTTTTAACAAGAGAAGGTAACCCACATTCCATAAAAGAACATACTGAAGTCTGCTATTCAGGGAGTTTCTCAGCCTATGATTCCAAATTGAAAGAAACAGTAATAAATAAGGCCCCCTGTAACAAAGTGTCATTTCTTACCTTGGATTTCAAATTCATCAACGTCATCAACCGAGCCAGAGTCTGAGAACTGTGCAGAATCATGAGAACTGAACTGAGAGCTGCTGGAGGTGACTCGAAAGCCTATTAAAATAATAGTAATAATAATAATATAATAGGATAGAGAGGAGCCTCTTACTCCTTCCATGTAATATGTAAATAGGAGGTACTACTATTTGAAAAGTAAATCTGAGATTAATTCTCTTAAGTTCTCACATTAGTTTTGGAAGGAAACTATACCTTTTTCTTTTTCTTTTTTTGGCAAAACTGGGGTTGATGTCAGACCTCACCCTTGCTAGGCAGGCATTCTACCACAGCAGCTACGCCCTCAGCCTCTGGGAAGCTATTTCTAATGTAGGAAATGAAGCCAAACTGTTCATGGGCCTAACTCACTTCCATGCTCAGCTTCCTGGTACACAGGGAGCAAGTTCTTGGTGCGGATCTGCTGGCGCCGAAGGCGGATCTTCTGCTTCAGTTCCTGGATCTCTCGATCACTATCTTCTTCCTCTACTTCCTCCTCTTCCAGGCACTGGCTCATCATGTTGCATTTCATCAGCTCAATGGCAGCAATCAAGGATTCTGAGATACTGAAGTGGGCATTTTCCTGGAGGAAGAGGAGCATCACAGAAATTTCTTGGCAAGGAACTAGAAGTAGCCAACACCTCACTGAACACAATGAGAGGCAACAGAGCTCCCAGACCTGCACTGCTCTTAATGAAAACATCAGGGGAAATGCATATAGCTTCTGTGAGGAAAGCAAATGGCCAGATTTTCTTTGTTCTCTTACATGAGCATGCCGGTCTCCTCCCCTAGTCCACTTTCTACATCAAACTGAGAAGAGAAACTCAGCTAGTTGACCCAAGACCTCCAAATGCAAACCTTAATTCTCAGTGCAACCTCATTTTTACTCTAACAAACTGAAAAAGTCATCAAAGTATACACATAGTGTAAATTGGTGGAAACGGAACAACTCAGAGAGAACTGGTTCACAGATCTATAGCATATGATTTAAAATATGAACAAACAAAACCTATAGCCAGGTGCTAGTGTCTCAGGTCTATAATCTTAGCTACCAGCCCAGGAAGAAGTCTATAATACTTTTTTTTTTTTGGTAGGTCATGGGACTTGAATCCAGATCCTCAGATCTCAGCCTTCTGAGTAGCTAGGATTACAGGCAAGAGTCACCAGTGCTGGTCTCTAGAATACCTTTATCTACAATTAATCAGCAAAAAGATGGAAATAGAGATGGTAGAGTGGTAGAGTGGTGGAGTATCAGCTTTGGCCAAAATAGCCAAACAAGAATGCATGGCCCTGGGCTGGGAAGGTGGCTCAGTGGTAGAGCGCTTGCCTTGCATGCATGAGGCCCTGGGTTCGATTCCTCAGCACCACATAAGCAAAAAAAGAAAAAAAAAAGCCGGAAGTGTCGCTGTGTCTCAAGTGGTTGAGTGCTAGCCTTGAGCTGAAGAGCTGAGGGACAGCGCCCAGGCCCAGAGTTCAGGCCCCACAACCGGACCCCCCAAAAGAATGCATGGCCCTGAGTTCAAACCCCAGTACTGGCACAGCAAATAAACAAATAAAACCCCTCAATTCTCCTTAACTAGTATAGGAATAAACAAAATCCCTGATACTGAAGTAGTGAGTATGTTTAGCAACCCAAAGTTCAGGCATTTCTGGCAGCAAGCCCTTTTTCACCACTGTTTGTGCCTTAAATCTTTAATATTTTTCTTTATTTTTTATTAGCATATATAGTAGCTGCTCAAGGAGTTTTATTGTGACCTTTCCATACATGCACAGAATATGTCCTAATCAAACTGACCCCTTCTATCACTCCCTTACTCCCTCCCTTTGTCTAAAATAATTTCAACAGGTTTCATTGTTCTATTTTTATGTATACAAATAAACTACTTCGATTACATTTACCCACATTTACCTTCTCTATCCACCCTTCTCTTTCCTGCTGGTACTTCCCACAAGTCTTCAATATTTTTAAATCCAAAGACACTAGACACTGTAAGTCTTTTTAGTGTTTGTTTCTTTGTTGGTACAAGAATTCGACGTCAGAACCTTATGCTTGCTCAGCTGGCCCTCTACCACTTAAGCAATGCCTCCAGTCTAACTTTTTGTTTTCTTTTGGTTATTTTTGAGATTGCGTCTCTCAGAATTTTCTACCTGGGATGGCTTTAACTGTGCTCCTCCAGATCTCAGCCTTCTGAGTAGCTAGCATTAGCCTGGTTCATTTTAGGTTTTTCTTATACACACAATTCATTCTTTATACCTGATTAAGCTGACAAAGCCTGGGAATAAAATCTTGAAACAGAGTTAATAAAGTTCTTTTTCAGTTTAAAAAGAAAATGTGGGAGAGAGCAAGGGAAGGGGTGCAATTGTCCAAAAGGAAATGTAATCATCACCTGACTCACATAACTAACCTCTTCGTATATCACCTTTATAATAACAACCAGAAAAAAAGTGGTGAAAATGAAATGTCAGTGTTTATAATAAAGATTTTGTTGTTATTGTTGCTTTGTTGGGTTCAGTCCCTGAACTCTTTTGCTCTAGGCTAGTGATTTACCACTTTGAGCCACAGCACCACTTCTGGTTTTCTGATGTTTAATCGGAGATTAGAGTCTCACAGACTTTTCTGCCCGGGCTGGCTTTGAACCATGATTCTTAGATCTCAGCCTCCTGAGTAGCTAGGATTACAGGCATAAGCCACTAGTGCCGGTCAATAAAGTTTTACTGAAACAAACACACACAATAAAAAAAAAAACAAAAGAGAAAAGATGCCTAGTAATTTCAATGAGGCTCTTTTCCAAAATCATATACCTAGATATGAAACATATAGGTAAATGTACTCAACCAAGATAAGAGTGCTTTGTAAGTTATAAAGCAATGGGTATTATTTATTACATATCTGAGCCTTAGAATAACGTACAGAAATTGATTCTGGAAATAGTATTTATGTGAAGTTTTAACAACAAACAAGCAATTGAAGTCCAAAATGTTTCTCAGCCCAAAGTAGTTTCTAAGATAAAAATCACTATTATTCTGGACTCAACAAGAAAGTGTGTGACAGAACTTGTTGACCTTGTCTTTACTGCAATCTATACCCAAATTATACCTAAGTCTCTGTTGTGCCTGAAACTTCATTTAAACAAACAACACCACTGACCCTCAAGCCAGCTCTCCAAGCACAAGATCTTCATTGGCTTCTTCCATTGCTCACCTTTTCCAGATCTGCACAACTGCCGAAGTCTTGCTCAGAGAGGTAGCTGATGAGAGACTGTCCTTCTGAGGGTCTTCGGAACATGCCTTCGGAGCACAGGTACTGACCACCCTCTGAAGGAAAATGGGAAGTAGATGTAAAAAGTTCTGACTTGAAGTGCAAATCTGTAACAGCCATGCTTCTTCAGGAAAAAGAAGAGCAAATCCTTCAGATGACTTTATCTCTAACTGTGCTTTCAAGTCTCTCAGCAATGAGAATTAGAATTGGAAAGAAGATGTCTATCTTCTAGTAAAATTAATTGGTCACTTAAGAGTCCCAGAGCACTAAGCTGGATGGTTGGAGAGCCGTGAAACAACTAGAAACAGCCCAGAGGCAATCCTTTCACTATCTACATTTACAGATGACATTCTGTACCTCTTAGCCCACTACAAAAATAAAAAATAAAAAGACAAATTAAATCCTGTGCTCAGGTCACAATGGCTTCCTCTTGTGCATGATTTCCATATGGAACTTTGTCTTCTGATAATTAAACCCAGATACTCAAAGTTTCTTTTCAAGATGCCTCTCACCTCTTTGAGAACCATCCATCTGGAGATGGATGATATACAAGATAACACCCCAGAGCACAAGACAGGGAGTAGAGAGGAGACCAAGAGAAGTGTTGCATATGTGTGATTTCTAGCACAGGGGTTGAAAATGACAAAGGGTGGGTAAGATTGCATAATATGTATCTTTCCTCCACAGAGCTCAATAATCCGAACAAAGGGAGAGTGGGTGAAAGAGAATTTCGGCCCTGGCCTCCCCAGTACTCACTTAGCATACTCCACGTTCTGAGAGTTAGAATGGAAAGATGTTTACTTGGTCACTGAAGAGTCTGATGTGACTTTACTGCTTTAGTCAAAGGAGGGCCAAAGGCCTCTCAACTCTGACTTCTTATTGTAGGACTCTCTAGTCAGTGCCAGACAGGAAGTAAAACCTATCTACAAGTGAGCAGCAGACACAAGTCTAGCACTGGAGAACATTAACTGTTCTCATTTTCTAAGTAATTCCAGAGCAAGGTGTGAAAGGAGCTCTCCAATATTGAACAGCCCAGGAATACAGAATACGTGGTGGAAAGGAAATGGGATGTCAGTTTATTCTAAAGGGAAAGAGATTATATAGTCCAAAAGGAGGAAGACAAAGGAGGAAAACAATCAAAACCAAGATGAATTTATTCATTTAGTTCTCTCTCCTTCCATCTAACCTCTTGACAAACAATTTAAGAAAGTCTTCAAAAACAAGCACCTTAAAATTTTGATACCTTCATAATAGGCTTTAATACAATATCAGGTTTACATTTTCTATAGAATGAAAATTAAAAACTGTGATGTCCTTTAAAAGCAGCAACCAGAAAATGCTGAAAGAACTGGGGTTGATGGCCTTGCCACCAAAGGGCTCAGTCACTGGCGAAAGGGCAGGGCTTTAGGAGAAGACTGCCTAGGAATAGGAACCAGTGAGGGCTAGGAATGGAGAAATAGCAACAAGCCACAAGAAGTTTTAAAAACTGACATTCCTCAAAAAGAAACACAATTTCCAGTCCTATAGAAGGCAAAGCCGGTGGGTACCTGAGAAAAGAGCAGGGTGCTCTTGAGACACATTCAACACATTTCCCTGGCAAATGGTGCCAATGTGTTAGCTGCTCTGCTCAGAAAAAAAAAAATCCACTGTCCAGCAAATATAATTTTATATTTTCCTGGAGGTTCAACCTATTGACAACCTCTACAGTGAACTCTGCTCAACTAATAGTCACCATAATGTCTTGGCAAGAGACTTTGAGACCCCCAGCTAACAATGCACAACACAAACAAGAACACCAAAACCTTTTTTTTTTTTTTTTGTCGGTCATGGGGACTGAACTCTGGGCCTGGGCGCTGTCCCTCAGCTCTTCAGCTCAAGGCTAGCACGCTACCGCTTGAGCCACAGTGCCACTTCTGGCTTTTTCTGCTTATGTGGTGCTGAGGAATCAAACCCAGAGCCTCATGCATGCAAGGCAAGCGCTCTACCACTGAGCCACCTTCCCAGCCAGTCAGTCCTTGTTTGTTTACTGAGTTCACTATCTCTGATGGTGCCCATTCACTAATTCTTAGCATTTCCTTACATTCTAAATCTGTATTCTTATGGTGGCTCATCTCTATAAGGTTTGGCAAACTTTATTCATCTATAACCTTTCTCAAGCTACTATAAACAGTGGCTTCACCCACCAGAAAACCAGTTTTTAATCCTTTCTCACTATTCTGACTGGTAGACACATTCCTGCAGTATTAGTATATCCATGAATTACAGTTCCCAAAATGGAACACAATCTCTCTGAACATCACTATAACAACAAAGGAAACAGACTCACGTCACTAGACAAATGTGCAATGGCTGGAATATGGATGCACAGGGGCATGAAGACAGGCGAAAGAAAAAAAGGAAGTGGGGACTTGAACAGGCAAAAACATGCAAGTATATCCAAGACCACAGAAAGGGATAAAACATTCTGGTGTTAAGTCAAGAAAAAATAAGTAATCCACAGTAAGTACTCAGTTATAATTAAGTACTCATTCTGCCACTGATTCACCGTAAAGCCTTAGACAAAAGGCAGGCCTCAGTTATACCTTTGAGCAAAACTGAATTGCTAAGTCTCAATTCTGCTTCCCAGAAGCTGTTTAAAGATGGAACGAGGCACTTTGGAAATTGTGGGCAGCACACAATATCTCACATGAAATACTGGAGCCATTTCAATGACAGGTCTCAACATTGCACCAGGAACAGAGTAGCCAGACTTGATTTGACACCAGACTGAAAAAGTAGGATTTAAACTTAGCAAGGTGGTCACAGAGGAACAAAAGGAAAAAGAGGTAGGGGATTGACTCCCAAACCTGCAATGGGATCTTCAACTATAATGGTGATATTCCTGGGGCCTCCTGTAGAGAAACGGATAGGTGCAGAGGAGAGTTCAGACAGAACAAACAAGATTAGAGAAAGTGGAACGGTTACCTGGGGAAAGTGGTGACCTAACTCCCAAGAGGGAACTACAGTGCTGAAGCGGGAATGCCTTGTACAAGAAATGATATATGACCATACTTCCTTGGACACTTCTGCATTCTTAAGCAGGTTACCATGGTTTCTGGACTCCACATGGATACAAGAATGGGAGTTGGTAGAGTGCTTGCCTAGCATGATGGAGGCCCTCAGTTCAATTCCTACTATTGCAAGCTATTTTTAAAAATGGAGGCCGGAAAGTTTTACATGCTCAAAAGCCAGTGACCTGGAGTACAAGAGACACCAGCCTGCAGGAGAAATGACATGAAATCTAACCTAACCACTCTTCACATCGAAGAAGCTTATAACAAGGTAGGTTTTATTTAAAGAATTTTTTCCTAAAGAACTACAAGGCAAATTTGATGGAAATGTTTGTCACTCAATTGTTTCAATTGTGGCCATTAGTTTTCTTCTTTCTAGAAATTATGGAAACAATGGGAATCTTTTTTTAGTCTTTTCTGGGGGAGGCAGTACTGGAGCTTGAACTCAGGGCCTGGGCACTGTTCATGAGCTTTTTTGCTCAAGACAAGTACTCTACCACTTGAGCAAGAGCTCCACTTTCAGCCTTTTTGTGGTTAATTGGAGATAAGAGTTTCACAAGTTCTCCTGAGCTGGCTTTGAGCTGTGATCTTCAGAGTCAGCCTCCAAAGTAGCTACGATACAGACATGAGTCACCAGCACCCAGCCTTTTTTAGACTTAATATTTTACATTTCATTTTAATATTTTATTTCTGGGGATTTCCTGATCCAAAATGGCTTTAAGCACAAAAGTCTATGTTACACTTGCTTTCATGGAACTTCCAGAGCCCAACAACCCAGGGAGATGATGACAGAGAGACAGCAAAAGCACAGACCCACTTTCCCCATGGAAGGTTGCTCCTTGCTGACAGCTAATATTTTTGTGAGGAGGTCCCAGGAGCAAGGGTTCTTTACCTGACTGCCTCAGTCTGAATTAATGATGCAGCAGGTAGTCCCACCTTCCTGATTACAAGGTCACATCACCCCATTCTGACTATATCCCTGCATTTAATTAGGAAACTCTAATATCAATCTGTTTCTCCTTTTATATCCTGACCAAAGTTCTAAGGAATCACAAAAAGAGGAGGAATTGAATGAGACTGTTGTTCAAGAATCCAGGAGAGCATTTAGTATTTAGCATTACATGAAAGAACAAACATAAATATATTCAGTTTGTTTGGTTTTGTTTTTGTTGAAACAGGGTCTATGTAGCCCAAGCTAACCTTGAACTCACAACCCTTCTGCCTCAGCCTTCTGAGTGCTGAGATTACAGGCAAGCAGCATCACATCCAGCCTCACAGATTTGTCAAGTATTACATTATAAACTTCTCTCTTTCATCATAAAGCAGAATGACATGTCATCAGACACATAACTTCTCTTTGAACCACTTGAAAAATTTTAGAAAGAAACTTTCTCTTCTATCCTAAAATCAGGGGACTCTTGCCATGGCTAGTATAATGATGGGTGGCACTCATTACCTGGAGTTCCTTTGGAGGCAATGTTGGTATCCGAATGGGAGCGAATATGGCTCTTCTTTGTCCCCGGGGTGACAGTGACTGTTTGCCCTTCTGAGAAGCTGGATCTGCGAAGGACAGTGGATAGTTGGCTCTGCCTATCTGCCTCTTGGTCTCCTAAGGAAGAAGCAACAGAATCTGGCTTCTGAGAACTGCTGGAGGAGAATAAATTAGAGTTGCTACTCTCCGCATTGCTGCTTTGACTCTGATGGCTGGCAGTCCGGCCATGGGGGTCCAGGTTGCCGATTGCCAGGTATTCGGGCCCCTCACTGGCATCACTTGGGGAGTCATTCTGGCTGCTGACCCAGGATGCCTCTAAGGGGCTAGTTACAGTGCTTGAGCTCATCTCAACTGGGGTTGATGCAAAATTCTGTGCTTGTACAGAATCCGAAAGCAGTAAGGGTTGGATGGTTTGATCCTCTACTGGAAATGGTTGTCTTCTGTCTTCTTGAAGATTCTGGGAAGGGCCAGAGAGTGAAGAGAAAGTAGATCTTCTCTCTAGTATATTAAAAAAAAATGGATAAAAAAGGAGAGAAAGTTGAGCTGGAGGACTGTGATATGTATGAAGAACTTCTCCACAACTAAGAACTCAAATCTCTGGCTGGGAAGGTGGCTCAGTGGTAGAGTGCTTGCCTTGCATGCATGAGGCCCCGGGTTCAATTCCTCAGCACCACATAAACAGAAAAAGCCGGAAGTGGCACTGTGGCTCAAGTGATAGAGTAGTAGCCTTGAGCTGAAGAGCTGAGGGACAGTGCCCAAGCCCAGAGTTCAGGCCCCAAGACCCACCAAAAAAAAAAAAAAAAAGAACTCAAATTGCAATTGTTACTAAGTATAAAATACATGTTACCTCAGAAAAATAAATATCAGTTAAAGTAAAAAATTATTTAAAAGTAACCAAGTCAAAAGTATGGGCTTTGAAACTGTGGCTTTGTTGGTATGCATTGCTCATCTGTAAAATAAGCAATTACCTACCTCACATGACTGTTTTAAGGATCAAATGATATAATAAATACCAATTCATTACAAGAGTCTAGCACATTGTAGGCACTCAATGAATGTTAGCTACTATTTAATGCCTTCTTTGCAATGTAGATTAGAAACTCAAGAACCTAAAAACATCTCTTTAATGATTCTACTGAACTATCTTGGATTAGCAGCTATAAAACTTCTTAAAGACTTCCATTATTAAGTAAAGTTTCAAGAATTCCACCAACCTAAGGCTCAATTATCAACCTTTGAGCACTCACAAATTCCTTTACTATTTAGGCCCAGAGAGAGATGTAAATACCAACCATTCCTGCCCCCATACCTGAACTGTGGTTGGACATGGATTGGTGTAGGCTGGAGGAGGATCCAAAGTAGGAATGTTGAGTATAGCTGGTTGGAGGAGTATATGTGGAGCCAGGCAGAGCTGTCAAGCTCTGGCTCTTTGTTACCAGCAGTGGACTTTCCTGCTTTCTGGCAAACTAAAACAAAACAAAACATGGATCAGAGTCAAGGATAGAGGCCCTCAGAGGAGGGTGCACAGTATCACAGAAATGCTGATAGAAACTAGCCTTTGACATTACACTTGGACTATAGCCCAAGCTTGTAGCTACACTCTATCATATAACTTTGAAACTGCAGTCTTGTACTCACTGGAATCCTTGTAAATGGACAAAGTAGGGGTACTCTCTCCTGAAGGTGCTTACAACTATGTGTGTGATGTCAGAAGCCAGACAGATTAGGGCTCTAATTTACACTTGAAACTAATAAGCCATTCTGTCAGAACTTTGGGCAACCGATTTACCTTCAGTGGTTCTTTTTATAAAAAGAGATTAATAGCCAGGTGTTTTACACCTGTAGCCAAGTTGTGTGGGTGGATCGTGGTTAAAGTCAGCCCAGGCATACACGTAAGACCCTTTCTCAACCAGTAGCTGGGTATGGTAGTGTATACTTGTCATCTCAGCTATGATAGGAATACAGGTAAAAGTGAGACCCTATCTCAAAAATAAGAAAAATAAGGGCTGGGAAAGTGGCTCAGTGGTAGAGCGCTTGCCTTGCGTGCATGAGGGTCTGGGTTCAATTCCTCAGCACCACATAAGCAAAAAGAAAAAAGCCGGAAGTGGCACTGTGGCTCAAGTAGTAGAGTGCTAGCCTTGAGCTGAAGAGCTAAGGGACAGTGGCCAGGCCCAGAGGTCAGGCCCAACGACTGGATCCAAAAAAAAAGAAAAAAGAAAAATAGGTTAGAGGCATGGCTTGTTGGTAGAACACCTATCTAGTAAGCAAAAGGCCTGAGTTCAAAACCTAGTGTTGCCAAAAATTTAAAAAGAGAGAGAGAGGGGGCTGGGAATGTGGCTTACTGGTAGAGTGCTTGCCTATCATACATAAAGCCCTGGGTTCCATTCCTCAATACTACATAAACAGAAAAAACTAGAAGTGGTTGTGTCTCAAGGTAGAGTGCTAGCCTTGAGCAAAAGAAGCTCAGGGACAGTATCCAGAGTTCAAGCCCCAGGACTGGCAAAAGAAAAACAGGTGAGGGTGTGGGGGGGGAGAGAGAGAGAGAAAGAGAAAGAGAGAGAGAGAGAAAGAGAGAGAGAGAGATTAATACCTGCTTCCTATAGTTGTGGGGATTAAATGAGATGATTTGTGGTTTATACATATCACTATGCATAACACATAGAAAGTATTCACGGATAGTAATCCATAAAAATTTAAAAACCAGCTGGGCGCCGGTGGTTCACACCTGTAATCCTAGCTGCTGAGAAGGGTGAGATCTGAGGATAATGGTTCAAAGCCAGCCTGGGCAGGAAAGTCCGTGAGACTCTTATCTCCAATAAACCACTAGAAAACCAGAAGTGGCGCTGTGGCTCAAGCAGTACAGTGCTTACCTTGAGCTGAAGAGCTGAGGGACAGCACCCAAGCCCAGAGTTCAAGCCCCACGACCAACAAAAATAAATAAATAAAATGTAGAAACTAAGCAAAAGGAGATTTTTCTGCCCTAAAAGGAATACAGGATCTGGTTCTACTCTAGCTAAGGTACTGACTGAAATATTAGTAATGGGATAAATTAATTACAGGTAGCAAAATTTTCTTTGTACTACAAAATTTTCATCATGTCAAAAGAAAAAAAAATGGCAGATCCTATGTGCCACTAGGCCATCCCAGGTGTGACAATGTAACTTCTACAGAATTGTCCCTCTTCTCTCTAGTTCTTTATCAAGCCTGCTTTTAACGAAGCATATTTCAAGGGTGCCGAGGATTTCTAAGATATATACACACAAATCAGGAGCCAGCAGCTCACACTTGTAACCCTAGCTACTCAGGAGACTAAGATCTAAGGATCACAATTTTGAAGCCAGCAGAGGCAGGCTTCAAAGTGGAGCTGTGGCCTAAGTGGCAGAGTGCTATACTTGAGCAAAAAAAGCTCAGAGACAGTGCCTAGGCCCTGAGTACAAACCTCAGGACAGGCAGCAAAAAACAAACAAAAAAATACGCACAAACACAGATGCAACAAGCTGTGAGCTAAGTTTAAACTCTCCATTTCAATAAGTTCTTAGGAGTATTTCCACTTCTTCTCAAACATTAAAAAAAAAATAAAAGCAGGGGTGGGAAGGTGGCTCAGTGGTAGAGCGCTTGCCTTGCATGCCTGAGGCCCTGGGTTTGATTCCTCAGCACCATATAAGCAAAAAGAAAAAAGCCAGAAGTGGCGTTGTGGCTCAAGTAGTAGAGTGCTAGCCTTGAGCTGAAGAGCTGAGGGACAGCACCCAGGCCCAGAATTCAGGCCCCACAACCGGACCCAAAAAATAAATAAATAAAATAAAATAAAAGCAGGGCTGGCAAGATGGCTCAGTGGTAGAGTGCTTGCCTAGCATGCATGAAGCCCTGGGTTCTATTCCTCAGTGCCACATACACAGAAAGAGCTGGAAGTGGCACTGTGGCTCAGGTGGTAGAGTGCTAACCTTGAGCAAAATTTGAATCTCAGGGACAGCACCCAGGCCCCGAGTTAAAACCTCATGATTAGTAAAAAAAAAAAAAAAGCCTTTTAGCTCACAACTCCATAGTGAATAAGTCATTTGCTACTCAGGGTTACATCACAGACATAAATAATTACTTGTCCCTTTTACCATAGATGCGTCAATCTGAGCCAGAAGGCGAGGGTTGTTCTGTTCCACTGCTTCTAGGCACTGGAGCATGGCGGTAACATGGGCATCACTTAGCAGGAAAGCAGTTTCTAGGAAGAAAAAAGTTACTATAGTGATGGACTTCCTCGATGGCCTTGGGAGAGAGAAGCTGAGGGAAAGAGTAAAGGAATTGAGGAGGAAACTCATGCGACTGTGGGCAGAAAGGAATTCAGAGACAAGTAAAATATAGGAGGAGCTAATTTGAGTCCAATAAGGAGATCAAAATAAGAGGCTCCAAAGTCAGAATGACCTATAACTAGATCATGGCTTTGGGTAACTGCAGCCATTATCTAACCTCAACTGCTTCTCTGGTTGAAAAACACGATGCTAACATACAACTCCCCTGGCTGTTGTGAAAAGTATAGTTTAACAGTGAGTGGCACATAAAAACTCTTGACAAGTGGTGGTTATTATTATTGACTTGTATGTATCAGTGTAGGGGAATATCTTAATATAAAGCATGATTAAGTTTTTCAGAGGAGGTGAGAGAAAAGGCTAGATATCTGTTTCTAGTAGAATCTACAGCATCAAGTGTAAAATATGAGGCTCTAACAGGTTGTCTGTCTATAGAGGAAAAGTGAGATGGAAGGCAAAAAGGAAGTAACCTAAATGACCTCTACCTACCTGTGTAGAATTTCCTGATATATTGTCTATCTCCAAGCAGAGGTCGGAGTTGGGCTGAGAGGCAGTGGGACTGCAGGCTGTGCTGTAACCACAGCTCTGCCACAGCACGCTCATTCACACCATCAGTGCTGCTTTGGCCATTCTCATGCAAATTGATGAACTAGGAGACAAAGAGGCATGAATTAAAATATATATCAAAAAAGTTCAGCTGGGTGCCAGTGGCTCAGGCCTATAATCCTAGCTACTCAGGAGGCTGAGATCTGAGGATCACAGTTTGAAGCCAGCCTGGGAAGAAGAGTCCCTGTGAGATTCTTATCCACTCAAATTATCTAATTAACCACTCAAAAACTAGAAGTGGAGCTGTGGCTCAAGTGATAGAGTGCTAGCGTTAAAAAGAAGCTCAGGGGTAGAGCTCAGGTCCAGAGTTCAAACCCCAAGACCAATGGGGGGGGGGAGTACAGAAACACAGAGGACTAACCACCTGAGAACCACATCTAGAGGACACTGGGGAAGGAAAATGAAATAGAGATTAATAGCTTAACTGCTATAATGGGTCTCCAATAAGGCACTGAGCAGTAAAGTCCTGATATGCAACTGTGGGAGAGATAAAGCTGCTATATCTGGTTCTTTACATTCTAGCTTCAAAGAGACAGCTGTACTGGGATATTCAAAGGAATATCCTCTTGGACTTTCTCATAGAGTTCTCTATTTCAGGAGGCCTCCAGAAAGGAATGCAAGAAAATTGTTAGGGAGAAGGATCTAGGCAAATGCTACCAAAGTCTTTCCACCAAAGAAAAACCAACCCGGGCTGGGAAGGTAGCTCAGCGGTAGAGCACTTGCCTTGCATGCCTGAGGCCCTGGGTTCAATTCCTCAGCACCACATAAGCAAAAAGAGAAAAGCTGGAAGTGCTGCTGTGGCTCAAGTGGTAGAGCACTAGCCTTGA